ATGTCCGGACGCGTAGCCTGGAGGCTAGGCGACCGGTTCCGGACGCGTAGCCTGGAGGCTAGGCGACCGGTTCCGGACGCGTAGCCACTGCGTTTTTTTAAACGAAGAGCTAGCTTTGCGAAAACGAAAGGCTGAAAGTCAGGGTACGGTGGGACATTCAAGGTTGCAGCGACATATCGTATAGTATCCCGAGGTACTTTCCGATATATTGAACCGTACCCAGGGTACCCTCCGATAGACTAGTATTATACTATTATCTATACCCTGGGCCTGGGGGACATAGACCCTATCAGTATCAGTATCAGTAATGACAGTATCACTATCAGTCTCTGTTACTGATACTGATACTGATAGGGCCCGTGTAAGCGTAGACTAGTAAGACGTATGGTTATACTTACTACTGAGAGGTACGCCTCTTGGTCTTACAACATGTGGAGTTTCTACAGTGTGTTTTACACAAAGCAGACATAGTAATACTAATAAATACAGCGCGAATTTTGATAAATACACACAACACCGGGACATTTCAACGTAACAGGGGGCCGCCATCTTTCACGATAGTGAACGTTTGTCATTCTCTGATTGGTCAGTTATGATCACATTGCATGGCAGCGTCACAGTGTTGGGGTCACCATATGGGGTCACGGAGCAAAGTTTATCGTCCTGCGCGCTGGCTGCAAAATGGAGCCTGGAAATGGTTTATTACAAATTGTCCGATTTATTTCAGAATGCCTATGCGAACATTGGTTAACCTTGGCTCTTGGAATCCCCGCATTTGGTCTGACATTGATAGCAAAGAAATTTGGCATAATTTATCAGGTACGGACCGTACGGTTAGTACAGAGAGACTACTGCAGTACTCGGTACACTGTACAGTATTAGTATTACTGTTAGTATTAGTATTAGTATTAGTAATAGTATTACTATTAGTATGGGGGGTAGTATTATAATATTAATATTAGTATGGTAGTATTAGTATGTTCGTGAATTACGTTACGTGAAGATATAACCGTGCTGGACATCATCTCTATCCTTGAACCCAGACAATTAAGTGTGAGCTATCGCGACTGCTTGCCAATGAATTTACATAGTACTAGTAGTACTAGTACCAGGAGTAAGATAATATAGATTATCTAATTATATAATCTATATTATCTTACTCCTGGTAGTACTAGTAGTACATTGCTTAGGTCACACTGATTTACACAGGTTTACATTTCGTGATTTGTACAGAGTACCGGTACCTGCTTTACAGAATCTGTGGTGTGCTGTAGATTCATGCACATTTTTTGTCATCAAAGGGTTGTGAAAAATATATTTAACACAAATATAATGTAAAACATTCTTATATGTTGTACAGTTTGTACCCATTCTGAATAGTATCACTGATACTATCAGTAATGAGTGCCTGGCCCAGAGAAGCCTCGATCTCTGGAACACATTACTGTCTATATTTTAAAAATGTTCTATGCAAATCTCTCACGTGCACCTGGAGTTCTTCGCGCACTCCCTGGACGTTTATTCCTTACGGACTGTCCAGTATAAAAGTAGAAGTAGAAGTATGGCAGTGTTGGTGGTAATAATCTTTGTAATTGCTCTTTAGCTTCTTCACAAACCAGATGCAAATTCCAACAGGCATGGTGGGGAGCTTGTAGCCAACACTTTAAAAGCACATGGAATCAAGTTTATTTTCACTCTTCCAGGTACAGTCTACAATTATACCTAATTTCGTTAAAGTTGTCATTCAAGTAAAATTGCATTGTCAGGTGTGAAATCGGACAAAAGTTAATTTCTGTAAACCTGATGTGTCCATGTTGGCATGTACAACCTGGCATGCTGCATCGCCTGCCATGTATAGGAGTGTGAACCTGGTTGCTTTTATTTAGCCAAGGGAAGGACAATTCATCAAATCTCAAAGCACTAGCTTCTTGCAGTATGAGGGCATGGTTGGTGTAGATTAGTTCAAATTAGGTCAAGAGTTGATGTTGTAATCAGTTTTCTAGGTGCAATTCAGGACTCGGCACCTTCGATTAATGTGGTGCAGTTATATACTTGTATACATGTATGACAAATATAAACTAAATTTCTTGAAATGACATTTATTCCCAGTTTTTTGCCTATAACTATAAGTGAATATATTACTCGTTCTCACAGGTTCTTGGTAAATTGTATGATATTCACTTGTAGATATATTTATCAGTTTAACTGTTATATATATATATATATACATATCAAGAGCTCATAATAGAGAAGAGTATGACACCGTTTTAACAGCGTTTTGCATAGTTTTCAACTTGTAAATATTCTATCAATATGTGAATAAATATATTCAAACTTTACCTTGTTTTTGTCTATGATTCTCCCTTAATCATATGACACCACCAATTTACCTGAAAATCGTATGTGTTCTTCAAAAATGTTCCTTGAATACGACACGGTTTCACACAGTTTTCTCAAATGATCGCATGTATTCGGCGCAAGTTGATAATGTGGCGGCAGCACCATGTTGTAACTACGGGACGCTGGGTGCTGTTGGGGATATTAGGTAAGCACATGTGCACAGTAACAGCACTTGTTTCGCTTCCTTATCATCAGGAACACGATGGCAACACAGCTAAAATCAGCTGCTAGCTCGCCGTGAGCACACATTTATTTCTAGCACGCTGGAAATGCTACACGCTAATGCTAAATACAATTCGATGCCTAATATCCCCAACAGCCCCCAGCATTCCGTCATAGACAATAGAACACTAATCCGATAATAAACTTGCGCCGAATACATGCGATCATTTGGGAAAACTGTGTAAAACCGTGTCGTATTCAAATAACTTTTTTGAAGAACACATACGATTTTCAGGTAAACTGGTGGTGTCATATGATTAAAAAAGAATCATAGATGAAAACAAAGTAAAGTTTGACATTCACATATTGATAGAATATTTACAAGTTGAAAACTATTCAAAACGCTGTTAAAACGGTGTCATACTCTTCTCTATTATGAGCTCTTGATATATATATATATATATATATATATATATATATATGTGTGTGTGTGTGTGTGTGTGTGTATGTGCGTGTGCGTGCCTGTGCGCGTGTGTGCACGTGTATATCTGGTTTGGTATATATTTGTGCAAATATCAGTTTATCATTTTACGCTTACAAAGTACATAACTTCATGGTCTGATGGGCACATGACCGAGTAACTGTTCAAGTAGTCAACTTACTGATAATGTTACATATATAACATGGTAAACTGAATTTATGTCTTTACTGTTAGTGTTATATATATACAGCTAACCCATAGATACTGTATGTGTTATTACCTATATACGAGGTTTAATGTTTGCTATGCATTTTAGTTAGGATCTTGTTAAATAACCATGGTCTTTTATTAATTCCAGGTGGCCATATTTCTCCCATCTTAGTTGCATCTGAAAAAATAGGCATCAGGATCGTGGACACGAGACATGAGGTACAGTGTGGCCTAGAATTGCCGGAAACTAGAGCACATGAGTTTATAGTAGATAACAGGGTAATAGAAACCTGGTGCCAAGTAATTTCCCACCGAATTTCAGCCAAACTTCGTATATTGAGTGTGAGTGTCAACCATCGTAAGCCCTACCTCTGCAGATGTATTGATATTTTCAAATTTGACTATAGCATATCCATAACCATTTTTGTTTAGATTTATACATGATAGCTCATAGATTGTTGGTTGGAAGATAGTGTGGTATTACATTTAGTTTTACAATTCTTACATAGGTGACAGCAGTGTTTGCGGCAGATGCAGTGTCAAGGTTGTCGGGCACTGTAGGTGTTGCCTGTGTCACTGCAGGACCTGGTCTTACAAATACTGTGACTGCTGTCAAGAATGCACAGATGGCAGAATCTCCGGTATGTGCGTCGTTTTGTCATTTAACTTACGTAGCTCGCCACTACATTGTCTCGAATAAAGTTGTGAACTTAATATGCATAAAATCTGTTACAAATATTGATGTGTATGATTAATGTTCAAAGTTGATGCATGCGTAATAGAATCTAGTTCGAAGCTGGCTTCAAACATCGGCTGCACTCGTGCACAGAATAAAACAGGAGTCCGTACCTTGCACTTTGGGAAATTTTAGCTGTGTTTACACTCGGACATATCGATGCCCCTATTGGTTTCGATCCAGCAGGTCATACCTTACAGTGCTTATGCACAGCCGTTTTAGATGAAATGCGTCAGCTGTGAAATGAATTTGAGAATGCACTCTGACGACAAATGTCGAATCTCGGTCTGTGTTGTCGTGACGGTGTTTTGCGCGTGCGTGCGTTTCAGGTGCTGTTGATGGGTGGCGCCGCCGCGTCGCTGCTGAAAGGACGCGGCGCGCTGCAAGACATCGACCAGATGGCGCTCTTCAAGCCGCTGTGTAAGTACTGCGCGACAGTGACGAAGGTGCGGGACATCGTGCCGACGATACGCGCGGCGCTGCGGGCGGCCCAGTCTGGCACGCCGGGACCCGTCTTCATCGAGTTCCCGATCGACGTACTCTACCCGTACAAGCTCGTCGCGCGAGAGCTCGGCGCAAAGCCGGACGCGAAGGGCGTGGCGGCGCGCATCGTCGGCTGGTACCTGCGCAACCACCTCGGCGACCTCTTCGCCGGCGCGTGGGAGGAGCGCGACGCGACGCCGCTGCCCGTCGAGCGGCCATTCGCGACCCCGCGCGAGGTCGCTGCCGCCGCGCGCCTCGTCGCGAACGCCAAGCGGCCGCTGCTGCTCGTCGGCAGCCAGTCGATGCTGCCGCCGACGAGCGGCGACGAGCTGCGGGCGGCCGTCGAGGCGATCGGCGTGCCGTGCTACCTCAGCGGCATGTCGCGCGGCCTGCTCGGCCGCGACAGCGCCATCCAGATGCGGCAGCGGCGGCGCGATGCGCTCAAGGAGGCCGACGTGATCCTACTCGTGGGCACCGTCTGCGACTTCCGGCTCGGCTACGGACGCGTTCTCGGCCGGCGCGCCGCCATCATCGCCGTCAACCGCGACCGCGCGCAGCTGCTGCGCAACTCCGACCTGTTCTGGAAGCCGACGCTGGCGGTGCGCGGCGACCCGGGAAGCTTCCTCGTCACGCTCGCGGCCGAGCTGCGCGGACGCCGCTGCGACGACGACTGGCTGCAGCGGCTGCGGGAGCGCGACCGCGACGTGGAGCGCCGCAACGCGCTCAAGGCCGACGAGAAGGTCGACGCGCACCTCAACCCGATCCAGGTGCTCATGGAGATGGAGGTGGCGATGGCCGACGACGCCGTGGTCGTTGCCGACGGCGGCGACTTCGTCGGCACGGCGGCGTACGTTGTGCGGCCGCGCGGCCCGCTGTGCTGGCTCGACCCTGGCGCGTTCGGAACACTCGGCGTCGGCGGCGGATTCGCGCTCGGCGCCAAGCTCTGCCGGCCCGACAGCGAGGTGTGGATCGTCTACGGCGATGGCTCGGCCGGCTACAGCATCGCCGAGTTTGACACGTTCACGCGGCACGGCGTGCCCGTGCTCGCGATCGTCGGCAACGACGCCGGCTGGACGCAGATCTCACGCGAGCAGGTCCCGATCTTCGGCAGCAACGTCGCGTGCGCGCTGGATTACCTCGACTACGACAAGATCGCCGAGGGTTACGGCGCGCGTGGATTCAAGATGGACGCCGGCGACATCAACAACATCAGCATGATATTTGCCGCCGCGCAGCAGGAGTACAAGAAGGGCAAGAGCGTGTGCATAAACGCGCTCATAGGCAAGACGGACTTCAGAGAGGGTAGCATTTCAGTGTGAGAAGTCGGGAAGCATTTCAGTGTGTGAAGTCGGGAAGCATTTCAGTGTGAGACGTCGGGAAGCGTATATACTTGCCGGGATGCGTACGGTTTAGGTGGAGGTGTCGTTATTTTGGCCGGTGAGAAACTGTTACTGTTGCCGGTTTAACTGAAATGAAGTCGGAGTGCTGAAATAGATCATTACATGAAAATTGACGTTTTGTTTGATGTTTTGATGTGTGAACATGAGTATTATCATTGTCAACGAAATCAGATGATTAACATGTTTGATTATTTTCATTCTGAGTAGAAAAGGAAGAATTCAGAAGACCGATGAAAAAACTCACTGTACAAAGCAGTCATAGGTATTTTGTGTACGAAGAGTTTTAAGTGCTCAAAGATAAATGGGAAAAGCTTTACATGTAACGTTTTATGGCCGATTTGATGTTACGATTTATGAACATTCAACATAAGTCTTTAAATGATGCTAATTAAAAATCAACATAATAGTGTGCTTTTTGTGGCCTTATATAAATTTCTTTGTGCATATGCAGGCGTGCAGTGTATCTGACTAATTGACATACGCGTGGTGTAGTAATGGTATAGATGCTGCAAGATGTATTAGTGCATGCGTTTCTTATACGAACATAATTTGATAAAAAATACAGTGTGTGGACTGATACATGGCGAATGTTTGTCACATGCAGTAGCCAAGTAGCAACGTACACTATGTAGACAGGCTAACGTTATACTTAAAATGAGTTTATCTGTGATCATTGCAATCTATAGTATTTCTCTTAATTTTTACGCGTACAGGCAAAATGTATGAACTATTTGGCTTGTACGTAGAATATGTGCGTATTTACTTAGTGAAGTGATGGTGAGGAAAATTTATTTTGGTTGTGTCATAATCAAAATGTATGTCGTAAACCTGTATCGAAGTATTATTTCTAGTTGCTGCTTAAATGCGGTATGTAGAACTATTGATTACTGAGAAAATGGAAAAAAATGGTTGTGGAATGTCATTTTGAATTTACCTGTTTCATTTGTCGTTGTTTTTGTGGGAAGACCGTTGCAGAATTTATATTTTCGGGAGTGGGTGTTCGTATTGTGATGACTGCACGGGGGAAATGACAACAGCATCTTGATTATCGTGTAGCATGACTGTATTCGAGGCGATATTGCTACGTACATTGCCATTACCGCTTTAGAAGCAGCCCTGTCAATGCAAGCCAGCTCTAAGGAAATCGTTGCTCGAAAGTTGCATTGCGATTCGTAACGACGTGGCAAGACGACTCTACAACGTAAATACTCCCGAAATCCTACTTAGAGCGAGGCACGGAGGCTGGATTATGCTAATCCCGTGGAATCCGCATATGCGAAGTTACACGACTTCCCCGCGGATATCGTATATTCCGACGAGCTCTTGTCTCTATTATTCTTGCCACTATGATAATAGTTTGGTAAATCAATGCGGGCAAATAGCCGCTCGCTGGTTTCGTGCGATCAGTTCGATTGACGACACTGCACGATATCAAACAGGCCGATACTACCCGATACTATGTTACACGTTGCCGATGACTTGCTCAAATACACAGAATAGTTGGAAATCATGCTTATGCATTTCTCTGTCTTTCAGAGACGGGTGGGTAAACACGGAGGGTTGTGTTCCTAGCCGGACGGGCAGGCCGACAGTGTAGTACGCGCGTAGTGTTGGCGACATCGGATCCATTCTAGCTCGGCATCGCATCATGTGGCAGCAGCGAGTGTGTCGAGTTTCCAATGAATAGACGATGTATGTGTGGTCACCGTAGCACGCATATAAGTACTGCACTCGAGTCAATAATACGGACGACTAAGTTAACAATATCGGCAGTATGAGCATACACATACACACACGCACGCGTGCACGCACGCGCGCGCGCACGCACGCACGCGCGCACGCACGCACACATATATGACTAACAGTACTACAATCTCCGTGGAGTGGCACGTACAGTGCTGTAGTGTTGTAGATTAGCGAGCTATGTAGAGCTACATAGCGTAGATTTCACCTAACCATTCACGCGTCGTGAGTATACGCGCTTAGATTGCTGAACGCTTCACCTGTAACTCTGACGCTATTGGACGAGCGAAACGAATTTAATATACACGCGCACGCACGCACGCACGCACGCATACACAAACACGTCTGTCGGATGACTTACAACAGACAAGATGGCCAGACTCGATAGCAACTCATGCGCCGCTTGTATATGTGGCATTCATGATGATGGGGGAGGTGGCAGTTATTGCACAGGCATAAGGCTCATTACATTGGTTACGATCGCTGTAAATCTCCAAATGGGACATGCTCTTTTCTTTTGGAGCGAAATCGATAAATTTCAAACTAGTATTGTACTACAATATCACGCAGGAGTGAATAAAAACAAGTTATTTTTATTCACTCTTGATAATAGTAAGAGTCGACAATTTTTGTTCAAACTGAATAGTTTCACCTATTCGTGGTAAGCTACTGATGTTGCGGCTAACGCCTGCACTTGTGGGTCTGCTAGTCGCACGGTGCATGTACAGGTTTAGCTTTCCCATATACACACGCATGCACACATGCACGTACGCACGCACATATATACTTAATGTTTGATCATTAGAAGTGGATGATATAGTGTAGTACGTATATCTTCCACTACCATCGTACGTACATGCATTGTAATTTGAGGCACAGAGCTCCGGTCAGTACAAGTTATAAAATCGTGTCATTTTAAGTGGCAACTGTGTGTATAGGCGAGCCAATATCGAACGCTTTTGTGCAAAACCTCCATCATTGCTAACTGATTCTCGCAAAGTAATTGGCAGAACGGTTACAAGTTTCTCGCAGCGACGTTTCGTTGCATTAGCCAGACACTGCGGGAGAGCGCGGGATCGGTGTTCAGTTTCGAGATTGTATCGAGCATTTTGCTGCTAGTTTTATTACGTTACAAGGAAATCTACTCCTCCCGAGCTAGGGTCGAAGTCCGAATGTTCGCGGTACAATGCTGCCGATACGGAGTAAACAGGCGCTGAAAGGGCCAGAATAGCGGCGATATTAACGGCGCTGAAATCACCGAATGCTCTTTCAACATGGCCAAACACACAATTTCCCGACGGCCGCGCATTCAGTGTAAGACACACACAGTTTCACACGCTGCCGTAGAACCGCCTCTCCTCGTTCGCTTGATATATATATTATTATATATATATATATATACACACACACACACACACACACACAGCACACACAGGCACACACATCGGCGCTACCACAGCACACACGGCCCAACACACACACACACACACACACACACACACACACACACACACACACACACACATATATATATATATATATATATGTTATATAATTATTCGCGTCGACCGTCATGTTATTGATTATTATATATTATCGGATATCTCTTCTGCCTGTGCCTCATGTTATATTTTCCCTCCTCCAGCGCTTCTTCTTCTTCTTCCTCTTCTTCTGCTTCTTCTTCCCTTTTAGTTTTTGGTAGTCGTTTTAATTTTCATCCACTCTTTTCTTCCTCTCTTAAACTGTTTATTTTATTTTATATCCGTTGTCTATTTTCTCTTGCTGCTTCCGATCATTGTCCTTCGCTCTCTCACTGTAATCATACCGTTTGCTACTCCCTTTATCCTTTTTTCTCCGCAAACTATCACTTGTTTTCTTATTTCTGTGCCCTTTCTACGTCATCGTTCTCCACATTTTAAAATTATTTTCCGATATATTCTATTTGCCTTCTTTCAAATTGTGGCGTTCGTACAAATTGATGTCATCCTTGCAGTCCTAGCGTTGGGACTAGGAAAACATTATGCACATCCACTAGCTGGCAGGTCAGCATCGAGCCAACCTGACTACTCAGAGTGTATTAACAAGTTTCCACATTATGTGTTGATCCAGACGGCAGCGGAAATATTAGCGATCTTCGGGGCCACCCAAATGGATTCCGGGCGTAGATATACCAGTGCAATTTGTTGTATCTGCATGTGCAACTCGGAAAAGAAAATATTATGGCATTAAGCAACTTCCTTCATTTGGTAGAAATATTACAACATATTGTGATGTGCCAGCTAAGAAAATATACGGAGACTCTCATAGACCACACCTGGCGTAAATAGCTCTATATGATTGCAAGTGAAGCTGCAGAAAGCGATGGCGCTGCAGCCTCGTGAAGAAACTAATGAATTTGAGGGTATCAGCTGTTTCCCCCCTTTTCCTATTGTCTTTGAAGTATAGATATTCTTTATACATCTTGCTGTTATTTATAGCTATTACTACTTATAATCTTCTTGTTTATCGGTTTATCTGTTAGTCCGTGCGCCCCTCCGTCCCTCACTTCACCCCGGCTGTCCATCCGTCCGTATAACATAGTCTGTCGGTCTATCAGTTACTAGGCATCGTCTTATTTTCTACGTGATTCTATATGTATGTAACGTAGCGCGTTAGCGTATACGCGTACGTAGTACATTTAACGTATATAGGATGTCGCTCGGTTATTGCGCTTCCTCGTTGCTTATTACTCTGCGTGGAAATTCCCATTTGACGTACACAGTCTACCTTTCCCTAGTGATGCCAGCACGGCCCATTCACCAGCGACCTCTCTACGCGGCATTACACGTCAATTTTCCGATGACCAATGCAAGATTATCAACGCCCAACCTCGTTGCCCCTATTCGTCTCTAATGTGTAAGTCATGCTCTTTCGCACACTATTCAGTTGCCATTGACAGGGTTCTGCGATACTCTATGTGCACGGAATTGTGCTCTCCGTGGTGTATATAATTGCAGAGGGCTTCGGCACAAAGAGCTATAACTACGGTTTAGGTACACACGCTATAACACACAGGCGGTCATCCACACCACGGCAGCGCCAATCTTGTCGAACAGACACACGTGCGTGCGCTCGCACCCTCGCGCGCACATACGCACGCGCACGCATACGCTCACATTTGAAATTAGCAATAGGCCTATAAATGTATGTCTAAATATACTCATATATATATTATATATATATATATATATATTAATATATATATATATATCTCACCCTCTCTTGTTATATTTCGCTCCCTCCCTTCCTTTCCGCTTTCTCTCTCTCTAGATCTCTCTCTCTTTCTCTCGTGCACGCTTTCTCGCCCATTCTGTTGTCTTTCTCTCTCTCTCTCTCTCTTCCTCCTCTCTCTTCTCTCGCTCTCATTCTCACTCACCCGCTCTTTCTTGTTCGCCCTATTATATTACATATATATATATACCGTTTCAGCAAGGCTACCTCAACCTAGATCGAAATGTTATCGCCATTGACCTATGAACAGCGCGCAGCACGAATGCCTTACGAGGTGTCGTTTTCAGCAATGTCTTTATGGCTTGATAGAGTGTATATATAAGAATTATCCAAATAATACTGTATTACATTTGCTCTATATGTTTGGACAGTTACTACCAGCCATTCTTCTCGTGCTGCCCTTTTATCGAAGATTGTCAAACAGTGCTTGTCAATATTTTGCGACCAAATTAGATATTATGGTCTGAAAAAGCATCGCTAACCGGCGCTGTTTTATAAACCACATGCCTTTATTTTACCAGTCACTTAGCGTTATGAAACACATTGTGTGCAATCGTGTACTGGCCGTTAGTCAAGCGTGGCTGCGCGCGAACACACGAATAAACGCCGTCGAGTGCTAATACAGGACGCAACGCGATCGCACGTTTTGTTGCTGACTGTTTGCCGAGTCTGTTCAACAACTTTCTAATTACGGGCGCACACTTATCAAGCAGAACATTACACCTACTTGCTTTATTAAATACATCTCTCGCCTTAGTCTCGCAAGAATAAAAGCGCAGGCATTAATTATATCGCCAAACGCGAAAATGTAAATGATCTGCGGTGTCAATAGAGTCGTGATTGCGCGCGACAATGTTGGGGAGGTTGGAACCGCGAGCAGGAGTGAGGGAGGGGCTGCGAGCAGGGGGGCAGCGAG